GGGGCAGAGGGGCAGAATCCCCCCTGCCCCTCTGTGGGATCAGCCCAGGGCACGGGGGGTTCTGGGCTGGGGCAGGTCCAGCCTCTCACCCACCAGCATTCCTGGAACTGGTTTCCCAAAGCTCCTCCAAACCTCTGCTCCCTCTCTCCCAGCACTGCCCAGCCCAGTTCAGCCTCAGCAGCTGCTGCGACCACGAAGCTTTGGAGGCTGTAAATAGAAAAAACTGTGAAAAAATTGTCACTGTGATTTACCACGTTCTGGGCATCCCTCGGGAAAAAGGTTTTCAGGATGAGAGGAAGGAAAATAACCATTGCTGGCCCTGTCACGGGTGGCAAGGGTGAGATCCCAAGGCACAAGCCTTGCTGGAATGCAAAGATCCAAGAGCTCCTTCCCTCTCCTCCTTGCCCTGTGTGGGAGCAGCACTGAGGAGCCCACTGAGGGAATGTTCAGCAGGAGGGCCCAGGCCATCCAAGGAGGAATTCCCAATTGGGGATGGGGCTTTTGTGGGGAGTCCTGGACCCAGGGGTTTTCCTTCTCAGGGAACTGGGGACTGTGGGCATTATGGGATCCTGGAAAGTGGTGCTTCTTCTTCCAAGGGAAAGGCTCTCCCTTGGTGAAGCAGCAGGAATGGCTGGAATATAATCCAGCCTGGATTCTGGTTGCAGTTTAATCAAAAAGGAAAACCCTCCTGGCAGCTCCAGAGCCCGGCGGGAGAGGAGGGAAGAGCATCAGAATGAACCCATTAGAGGAGTGGGTGGAGGAGCAGTGGGACCCCTCCGGGTCAGCGAGCCCAACCCTCTCCCCTTCCAACCTGCCACTTCAGAGCTCTCCTTTCAAGTGTGATCCAACTGGGAGCACGAGCCGGAGCCAGCGGGAAAGCAGGAATCAAACAGCCACGATCCTGCCGGGCCTGGGCTGCTGCTGCACCTCATCTGCATTCATTAGGCTCTGAAAACCTGAACAGCCTTTCCAAGGCAGCAACTCCGAGTGTGTGAAGAGCCTTCCCTTCCCTGCGTGGCGTCGGTGTCTCCTCCAAGCTCAGGCTTCGTGGTTGTTCCGCTGCAGTTCCGATTCAGCCCCAAAACAGCCCCGGATCACCCCAATTCCCAGCTCATCCTGCACACAAAGGCAAAGGAGACTCCACAAACTCCACAAGCTTTGTACAAAAACCACTTTTTTTTGCTTTTATTTCACAAAATTGGGTGGCTGCTGCAGGAATCAAACGGGCCCTATACAGAGATCAGGTGAAAAAGTCGGCACAAGGATTATTTATACAGAAACAAAACAGTGTCGGGATCCAGGTCCTCGGCAGGATCAGCACTAGGACAGTAAAAAATAGTCTCCCCCTGGATCCCTGGTATTGATCACGCTAAAAACAACCTGAGGTTACTCTAAACTGGACTAAGGGCTGCCCCAGGAATCCCATGCTCACCCAAAGACCCTGGAGGGGAAGGAAGCCTTGGGATGGGAGGGGAGGCGGGCGGGCCCCGCTCCCGGCGAGGCACCGCGGAGTCTGTGCTGGGAGCACCCGGCAAATCCTATCTTGGGAAATGGTGGAAGCGGTTCTGGAGGCTCCAGAATTTTTGGGAGCCTCCCTCCAGCCCATCCTCACAGCCCCTCACAGGGCCAAAAGCCACCCTTCCAATCCAGGAGCAGCCTCGGGCCCTCGGCAGGGAACCCCAAACCCTCCCGGGGCAGGACGAGGGCGGAGAACCCGAACCACGGGCAGAGAAGGATTTTTTGCAGGACTTTACTCCCAAGTTTTGGCAGCCTGGAGGTCTCACCAGGCGCTCCCAGATCTGCCTGGTGAGGCTGTTCCCTCCCCAGCCTCCAGCCCCGTGGGAGGTGACCCCAGCTGTCCCCAGCTCCACTGCCTGCCCCGGCTGTCCGCAGGAGGTAGTTCTGGCATTCCCATCCCAGCCATCCCAACCCAATCCCAAATTCTAGCACTTCTTCGCTACCTACTTTATCTTTTTTTTTTTTCCTGTTTTCTTCATTTTAAAAAGTACAAAGTATATGCTCCAAAAAGAGGGACTAAAAATGGGGGTTTATTCCTCAGTTGGCTACGGCACCGAACTACTCAGAGGGAAGGTCCAACTACCACCTCCAAAGGCAAAGGAAAGGTAAAAACTGGAGCAAGAAAACTCCTACCATTGAGTGGTTTTATTCCAATTGATTCACTCCTGGCTTCATTCACATGGATCAATATTTCCTGTAATAAGTTAGTGGGGCAGCCCCGGCCGTCAGGACCAGATATCCCGAGGGAACACGGCTGCCATTCCTGCCCCTCCCTGCTTCTCCTGCTCTGCTCCAAGCACTGGTTTGGCATCTCAGCTCGGTGCTTTGCTCTACCCAGAGACCCCAAAACACTAAATCACCCCAGAGTGGGCTCGTGCCACGTCCTAAAGCTCAGCTCTTGCCCCCACCCTAAAACCTGGATTATTTTACCCTTCCCGGGAGAAGCCAAAGCTCAAAGCACCAAGAGGAAGGAAACCAGCGTGGAGCTCTGCAAGGCAAGCAGGCCAAAGGGGAAAGGACTTCCCACCAGCAACATGGAGGCACTCCTGGCATCCCTGATCTCCAGCTTGCCCAAGGGAATGCCAACCCTGCCGGGTTCCGAGCGGTGGGGAGGGGGAACGTAAGTGTGTGTGTAAATCACACCCACGAGACAGGGAGGGGAGGTGAACCCCCCCAGGGGACAGAAGGGAGCTGAGGAATTCCTTTTTGGTCACCACTGTGTTGCTGTGGAAGTTCCTTCCCTCTTCCTTGGCTGCCTAGGGAGCGGCTGAGGCCGGGGGGGCTCCGGCCGGAGGGGGGGTCACTCCTTCCGCGGGCGGCGGGGGCTGCGCCGGGGGGGGATCTGCAACAGAGCACAGGACACACCGTGAGCAGGACACGGGGGGGCTGCAGGGGACCCCACAGCCCTCCCAGGGGTCTCTGTGCCCCGCAGACACGGCTGTCCCACGGGAATTCCGGCAGCCGGGACTGTGTCGGGGTCACCTGCGGCCCCACTGCGCCTCCGGGGTGATCTTCCACCACGTGCAATCCGGGAAAGAGGAAAAAATTCCCCCGTTTTCACAGACAAGGTGCCAGGGATGCAGCTCAGCAGCTGGCAAAGTTCAGGCCAGGCAACTTCCAGGGCTGGAACTGGCACCTCTCCCCTCCCGGCTCCGCCCTCGGGCCCGAGCTGCGGCTCTTTTGTGGTTCAAATAGATGGAACAGCAGATTTTCCATAAACAGAGCCTGCACCCCCCTCTGAAGGGTGGATGTAGGTTAAAAAGCAGAGGAATCCAGGGATGCAGCAAGAGGAGGGAAGAAAGCAGGGATAGGAAAGGGCAGCTTTGTGCCCAGAGAGGAGACACTAATGGAACATGACTGACTTGTTTAGTAGGGGAGAAAAAAAGGAGAAATTAAGATAAAGGAAGAGAGCAAACAGGAATATAACCTGACATGAGATATTCCCAGTGGTAGAGGCTCAGGAAAAAGGAAGGAAAACTAAGTAAAGCTGGAGGAGGAGAAGAATTAGAGCAAAAATAGCATCAGCTGGAGTATTTCCCACCAGGGCTGGTGAACACCAGTGAGTCAGAGCTCCTGCAGCTCCAGCCAAAACGAGATGGGCTTTTCCCAGTGACTTTTTGGGAGAGTGATCCCAATTCCTGCTCCTCTGGGGACAGTCACACTGAGTGTTCCTGGGGTGCAGATTCCTGTGCTGAAGCAGAGCAGCAGCTGAGCCCAGGGGGGAATTAATAATGACCAATTTATTGAGGGATCCCTGACTGAGAATTCCTCGGTAATTCCTCCCTGTGCCAGCTTGTCTTTTGCCTTCTGGCTTTGGCCACGTTCTCACACTCACTCAAACAACACCCACACTGGGGCTCCTGACTCAGCTGCTTTTTTGGCTGCCATAAATCAACTTCATTTTTGGAGGTGTAGGTTTTACACTGGGAATGTTCCTTACATGGTTTATCTTCTGCCTCCTCCTAATCAGGACTTCCCTGTTCCAACTTCAGGGTGCCAGGTTTTCAGTAAGGAATTATTGAACTGGTTTCTATTCTGATATCTTTGATATTTGAGGATTTATGGTGAATTCCTGACTCTCCACTGAGCCAGGAGAGGTTTTTGATCATCACTACTGAGCCTCAGTATCATTATAAATAAAAGAAGGGATGTTATAAATAAAATAAAGGACAATGGAGTGTGTTTGGATGCCCAGAGGGGAGAGGAGCACTTAAAGCTTCAAGCACATCCCTGGCACCCGTCAGGGCTGGCAGCGCGCACAGATCCCGCTGTTCCCACAGGAAACACAGGGGTTCCACTAAAAATCCCCTCCCCAGAGCCAGAGGAGCCCCGGCAGGAGCAGCCCGAGGGCGCTGTGCTGGGCCTGCACTTACACATGCCGTTGGGAGCTGCCAGGGGCACCCGAGGTCCGATGAGGTTCCCGGCCATGGGCGCCATCCCGGGCGGGGGGGCCCCCCCGGCAGGGTGGATGTTGGCTGACACACTTGGCATCATCCGGCCTGGCAGGGGCTGCCCGGGGAGCATCGACCCTGGCCCCGGCATCTGACCTGGGAGGGGAGGGAGAGACACGATGGTGAGACCCTGGGAGTGGTGAGAAGGGAGAACCAGAGCCAGGGGCGGCCCCAGACACCCAGGAAATGCCTCTTCGACCCCAAAGGCAACACACTCTCCCCCCAGGAAGGGCCACGGGGCACTGGGGATCTCCTGGGGACACTGGCACAGTCAAACCCAGCATTGGCAGTGACCCCCCACCAAAGGGCACTGGATGGAATCCAAACAGTGGGAAGCAAACAGCCTGGGATAACCAGGCACCAAAGGAGCACCTGGGGGGAAGGAGCAGCCACGAAGCCTCACGGACTAATTTACTGGGAGAACTGAAATGATGCAGCTGGAAATGGGGCTGCATGGGAATTCCTACCATTATCCCCCTGTTTGCTGTGAGGGAAGATTCCAACACTCCTGCTCCCAAACCAGCTCCGCAGGAGACCTTCCTGTTCCAGCTGCACAAGGAACTGCTGGAATCACCTGTCTTGAACACCTCCAACAACTGGGAGTGATGCCTTAAAACCTCATTTGAGAGATGATTTTGCATAATCCAGTTACATTTCCTTTCACACACTCCCATGCAGGGACAGGATTTTGGTTGGAAAGCGGCGATTGGACTAAACTGGGATTAAACACGGGGGAATTCCTGCCACCACATATCCAACCAAACTGGGATTAAACACGGGGGAATTCCTGCCACCACATATCCAACCA